CTCTCTCTCTCTCTCTCTCTCTCTCTCTCTCTCTCTCTCTCTCTCTCTCTCTCTCTCTCTGACACACACGCACACACACACAATCAGAAGGGACTCAGATATAGGTGGTCCGAGTGCAACTCAGTTCTGGATCTCATCCCATAAAATTGGGCACAGAGGCAAGACGTGTATTTGCAACATTTGGAGAACTAAGACAGAAATTCTCAAATCAGCCTGAACTAAGAGACCCTATCATAAAAAAAGGTGGGGAGAGGATAGAGACATAAAAAAGGAAAAGACAACTTAAGAAAAAATTGAGAAAATGTTTGAACAGGACTATGCAAATGCCCACTGATGACCAAAATAGATCAGAATATATTCAACTGTATTACAAGTCAGGAAAATATAAGCTCAAAGCCCCAAATACAGACTACCTCACACAAGACTAGCAAAGATGACTCTGAGGATACCAGGTGCTGAAGGTCCAAGTCTTAAGCTGCAGTCATTACATTACTTTTTATAAACAACTTTCCTTAGTAGACACCATGAGAATTTTAAGACAAACTGTGACCCTCTGGAAGGTCACTACTCATTGCTAATTGAAACTGTATTCTACACTTCCTTCCAAAGTACCAGTTTTCACCTCTTTGAGGAGAGGCTCCTTGTGACAAAAGCATTTGGAAAATAATGTGCCGCCACTAGATATTCAAAAGACAATTCTAAGCCAGGTATGGTGGTACAGGCCTTTAATCTCAGCACTTGGAAATCAAAGGCAGGAGGATCTCTGTGTTCATGAACAGCCTTGAGCCGGGCGGTGGTGGCGCACACCTTTAATCCCAGCACTTGGGAGGCAGAGGCAGGTGGAGTTCTGAGTTCAAGGCCAGCCTGGTCTACAGAGTGAGTTCCAGGACAGCCAGGGCTACACAGAGAAACCCTGTCTCAAAAAAAAAAAACAAAAACAAAACAAAACAAAAAATCAGCCTTGGGGAAAACAAAAAAAAAAACAAAATCATCTCAAAAAAAAAAAAAAAAGGACATTTCTAATTGTAAGTATATATTTTAGGGGAACAATTTTACAGGTTAGTCAAACTGAAGTACATTTAAAGAACAAGTAAAACAAAATACAAGACTTCAGAGATTATAATTAAAAATAGCACGGGAATTTGCAAATATTTTAGTGTCCTAAGTCAAAGGAAGATTTATCATGCACATCTTGAGAATTATAAAATAATCCCAACACTGGGTAACTTCACTTTTCCTAAAACAACTCACTAAACTTACCTCTGCATTTTCATCTCCCATTTCCTGAGGGGCATCAGTGTCTGGTTCAATTACACCTTCATTGTCAATTTCTGCCGAAGTTGAAAACCATGAGATTAAAAACTAAATTACGAGTGTGGTATAGTTAACGGCCACTGGCTTGAAACTGTAAAATGAGATGAACTGCTCTGTGTGGAGCTCAGGGCTAAGTACTACCCAATAAGATGGAGGCTATAGGTATAACCCAAAAAGAAAATGAACTACTTGCTAGTACAACTATAAGCTACTTTCACCTAAACTCTGATACATTATAAACTACTTCCCTGCTAAAAACAACTACTAATAGCTGTTAGTAGGTAAGCTGGAGAGATGGTAACTCCAGTACCAAGGGATCTGATATCCTCTTCTGGCTTTTGAGAGTACCACATACGCATGTATATGGTATATAGGTACACCTGTACACATCAAATAAAAATTAAAAAAACAAAACTACTACTTAAAACTGTTGGTAAAAATCAGATAGCTAGTGTAATGATAATGATGGTTATATGCACAACATTTTACATAAAACACACCGCTGATTTGGTCACTCTCCAAAATTCACTTGGGAAAGAATTGGGGGTCAGAAAGATGACTCAGTGTGTAGAATGCTAGCTCCAAAGCCTGAACTTGAGTTCCTGCCCTGAAACTCTACAAGGTAGGAAAAAACTAACCCCCAAGAGGTGTCCTTTTGACCTCCGCAAAACCTTTCCCATAAACTTCTCTAATAATTTTCCCAGTTATACTACAACAGTAAAAATTTTAGAGAGTAAATATAACTGACAAAATGCTATTTCATTTTAATATAATTAACTTTAAAAATCAAGTGTAGACAAATTCTATAAAACACAGGCATACCACTGATACAGGAAAAAGTCTGAAGTTCAGTATTATAACCAAACCAGTAAATAAAACCAGCCACTTGACATTCAGGAGGCTGAAGCAGGAGGATTGTCTCAAATTCAAGGCTACCTGTGCCATAGTTCCAGGCCATCTTGGGCTACAAACTGAGACACCATATCAAAACAAACTGCTAAACAAAAGCCCAAGCACACAGGGCTGTCACCAAGAGTACCTACTACACACTACACCACCCCGTGCTCACCTAGATCGCTCTCCTCACTCGATGGCTCCTCTGTCTTTACGTTTTCCTCTGTCGTCTTGTCTCTTTTTTCTTCCTAGCAGAGGAAAATTAGATAGTGTTGTCAGTACTTAAATATGTAACACATTTTATGTGTTTGTGTCTGTATACACAACATACACATGAATACCTTACTTGAATACACTATATTTCAGTTGTCAATATCTTTCTTTTACTTCTCATTTCTAATAACTATAGGTCTGGTAGCATCCAAACCTTTAAGAATTTAAACTGTCAGGGTTTTGTTTTGTTTTATAGCAAATTCAATTCATATACTACACACTACAGAACATTCTTCAAAGGCACTGTACTCTAGGACTGTCCATGATCTAGCATCTTGGCTGTACACGGAAACTCCTGCCTACAGTAGAGGCACTTAGGATCAGGGGCTTATGAGGTCAGATTACCCTGCATGAGACTGTTTCAAAAAACTAAAACACAAATAGGAAAATTATATTTCATGCAAAATAAGCCAGACTATTCCCAACTGATGTTTAAAAGACTGAAAACAGTCAAGACAGTGAGGTCACTTGAACCTAAGAGTCTGAGGTCAGTCTGGGCAACAATGTGAGACTTATAGGAAGGGTGAACATTTTTAGATTGTTAGGGTTTTTTGTTTTTGGTGTTTTTTTTTACTTGTTTGTTACTGTTTTCTCTTGAGTCAGGCTCTCACTATGTAGAGTCAGCTGGCCTTGACCTCAGAAATCTACCTGCCTCTGTCTCCACGTGGTAGGATTAAAGGTGAGTGCCACCACACTCAGTATGGTATGTTTACCATACCAAATGTCCTGAACCCTTCAGTTTTCAAGGGTTGCTCAGTTTGAGAATTATAAAGAAAGCGTCTGTGGAAACACACAAAGAAATTATGAAGCTTAGAAGAGCACATAATAGCAAATTTTCTCTCACCCCTGAGAACCACGAATCGTCTTATCTACTCTGATACATTATGGATAAGAGATAAATTGGCACTGCCTTCTCTGGTTAATGAGGCTATGTATCTTACAGAAAGTATCACTACCAGCCAACCTTTACCTACTCATCCAATTGTCAGTACATCGGAAGTAATGTATCTACACTCTAAGATTCTTTCCCCCATTCAACCTTTTTTGGTTTTGAGACAGGGTTTCTCTGTGTAGCCCTGGCTGTCCTGGAACTCACTCTGTAGACCAGGCTGGCCTCAGAAATCCTCCTGCCTCTGCCTCCCAAATGCTGGGATTAAAGATGTGAGCCACCACTGCCTGCTGCCCCCCACTTCAATCTTAAAAACCAAAGTCAGGCCTGGGGTGGTAAGTATATGCATTTAATCTCAGCACGTAGTAGATCTCTTGAATTAAGAGGCAACCTGGTCTACAAAAATTCAGGTCAGCCAGGACTACACAGTAAGACTCTGTCTTAAAAAAAACAAGGCAAGGACTGGAGAGATGGCTCAGTGGTTAAGAGCACTGACTGCTCTTCCAGAGGTCCTGAGTTCAATTCCCAGCAACCACATGGTGGCTCACAGTCATCTGTAATGGGATCTTCTGGTATGGCTGAAGACAGTGACAGTGTACTCGTCATATATGTATGTGTGTATGTATGAATGAACTAAATAAATCTTTTTTAAAAAAAGCCTACTATGCTGACATTAAAAAAAAAAAAAAAAGCAAGATGTGACAGGTAAAGAGGCACTTGCCACCAAGTCTTGAAACCTAAATTCGATCCCTGGGATCCACAGTCAAAGGAAAGAACCAATGTTTCCAAGTTGTCGTGTGACCTCCACACAGACACTGTGGCACATTCACTACCATCATTCTCTTATGCTCTCATAAACTTAAAAAGTAAAATTTCAAGCCAGGAGTAGTGGCAAAAAGCCTTTAGTCCCAGTACTCAGGAGACAGAAACGGGCAGATCTCTGTGAGTTCGAAGCCAGTCTGGTCTTGCAGATCAAATTCTAGGACAGCCAGAGCTACAAAGAGAAACCTTGACTTGAAAAACCAAACACCGGGCTGGAGTGATGGCTCAGCAGTTAAGAACACTGACTGCTCTGCCAGAGATCCAGAGTTCAATTCCCAGCAACCACATGGTGGCTCACAACCATCTGTAATGGGATCCAATACACTCTTCCAGTGTGTGTCTGAAGACAGCTGCAGTGTACTCACATACATAAAAAATGAATACATCTTTAGAAAAACCAAACACCAATGACTCCCCCCCAAAAAAGGTAAAATTTCTCCTAAAAAAACAAATGCCTAAGTTTCCATCTTAATTCTATAAAATATTTGTTAAGTCCTTAGCAAACATGCAAACTGTTGGTATGTTGGCATATACTTTTAATATACACTCCCTACAGTCTCACACATTTGAAGGATTAGGCACCAGGGAATAGCACTATTTGAAAGCATTAAGAGTCTGGCCTTGTTGGAGGAACTATGTCACTGGGAGTCAGTTTTAAGGCTCCAAAAGCCCAATCCAAGCCCAGTGTCTCTATCTGCACATCAGGATGTAGCACTCAGCTACTGTTTGTGCCTGCCACCGTGCTGTAAGAGTTGCCTAGGTAATGGTACTCCTTCACAGCACAGACTAAACCTCTGAAACTGTAAGCATCCCTCTAATTAAATGCTGTAAGAGTTTCCTAGGTAATGGCATCCCTTCACAGCAACAGATCAGTGACTGACAGTCTCTGTATATAGCCCACACTGGTCTCAAAAATATAGTATCTTATCTTAAACAAAACAAATTTGAACTTACCTTCGTATTTTCTTCTGACTTAGCTTTATGAGTAGCAGGTGGTACTTTACCCCCCATGCTTGAAATAAAAAAAAAAAAGATAAGTTGTTTAGAATAGTCACTATAAGTTCATTAAAAAGCAATGAACCTAAAAAGGCTAAATGTTTCCGATAACTTTTCAAAGCTTAGTACATTCTCAATTAATATGAATGCTTTGCTATGAGTTTTTGTAAACTTCAAATTGTCTTCAGCACACCTTTCTCCTGCCTCTTATAAGCCTTGTACTACAGCTCTTCCTAAAGGTAAAACAAAAGGCAGAAAAACCAATAAATGAAGTGATAAATCATTCTCTAAGCCATTAGCTTAGAAAATAAGGCCTTAGGAGGTTGACATTTAGCAAGAGTATGTCAGGAGCCTCGGTGGTAAAGTGACTCCCTAAAATGCAGAAAGAAGCCACTGGATTCTTTGCAAAGCCCTGCTTTCCAAGTAGTCCAGGGCAACCTGAAAACAACAAAACTTAAAGGGGAGAAGCCTACAAAAAGATTAAATTTACATGTCAACAGCAGAATGCCTAAGTGGCTGCTGGGTAAAAACAAACCAGCAAAATAAGAGATTTAAGGATTTGTTAACTCAGAGTAACAAAAGTGCCTTACACATTAATCTTTTATTACTGTTGTTATCTGTGGTGTAAGTGCAAGAGCCCACAGGGAGGTGGGAGGACAACTCAGTTCTGAAATCCCAGACCTGAACCCAGGGTCTGTCAGCAAGCACTTGTGCCCACCCAGCAGGCATGGCTTCTTCTATAACTAGAGCCCTACTCCCCACATTTCCATTGGTGGGATCCGGATGTAGGATGTATATCTAAGTTGAATTTAGATGAGCATCAGTTTCCAAGTTCTTGTCACCGATTTATGCTAGTTATCAACAGTGTGTAGTTATTCCACCCTAGACTTCTAGCCTTCCTGGTACATGGTGACATTTCATTGTATTAAGTCCCTTTCCATACAGTCTCGACCATCGAAAGAGTGGCTTTTGAAATGCTCAACTCTCATCCAGGTTCTCATTACATTGTCTTATCCATGAGCCTGAGTCAGTTGCATCTTCAATAAACCCAACATGAAACAGAATTCAAATGCAAAGTAGCAAGTAGAAAAAAAAAGTCTTTTGCCTTTGTGGAGATTCTAGGTGGATTGCTTTTTAAGGGCTGGAAAAACGATTCAGCAGTTAAGAGCATTCACTATACTTACAAGGGCTCTGGGTTCAGCTCTAAACACAGACATAGCAGCTCAGAACTGTCTGTAACTAGTGAAAAAGATTTATTTTTATTTTGTGTTTGTCTATATATACATATGTACATATAGACACACACACCAGGTGTATACCTGATGCCCCTGAAGCCAGAAGAGGGTGTCAAATCCCTTGGGACTTGAATGACACAAGATTTTGAACACCACCAAGGATGTTGGAAATTATACCTAGGTACTTTGGAAAGCAATCAACCTTCCAACCTCTCAAGCCCCTGTTTACTTGTTAAGACAGTCTGACTTCTTAGCCCAAGATGACCTTCAAGTTTTGATCTTCCTACATCCTCGAAGATTACAAGTATGTATGTCACTAATTCATCCAAATTTGACATTCCTTCTTAAGGACCATTCATTCAAGAAAATTGTACAGTTTATTTATTCTAATAACACACACACACACACCCCTTCCATTACTCAATATGTTATTATATATTATTATATATTATTATATAATATACTCAACATATTAACAGATAATGGTTCCTACATGACAAAAGATTATATAATCCAAAATGTCTTAGTTTTAACGCAAAATGATTCAATAAAGAACAAGTATATAGACACTACAAACATTTCTACACTTTAAAAAAAAAAAAAAAGGCCGGGCGGTGGTGGCGCACGCCTTTAATCCCAGCACTTGGGAGGCAGAGGCAGGCGGATTTCTGAGTTCGAGGCCAGCCTGGTCTACAGAGTGAGTTCCAGGACAGCCAGAACTACACGGAGAAACCCTGTCTCGAAAAACAAAACAAAAACAAAAACAAACAAACAAACAAACAAACAAAAAAAAAAAGGGAGGGGGCAAGAGATGGCTCAGCAGTTAAGAACACTGACTGCTTTTTCAGAGGTCAAGGGTTTATCCCAGCACCCACATGGCAGCACACCACTGTCTGTAACTCTAGCTCTAGGAGTTTTGACATCTTCACACAGATACACATGCAGGCAAAATGCCAATGTACATTAAAAAAAAAAAATTTAAAAAAAAAAAAAGAAGAAGAAGAAAGAAAAGAAACACCTTTGAAAGGTACACAGTAACCAAACACTGGATCATAAGTTAAATTTTAATGAAGGGCTTCTTAGCTGTGTTTTTCCTAAGTTTCAAACTTCAGTGTCAGGAATGTAGGGTGACATCCAAACATAGTTACAACAGCTTAGCTCTGTGAAGTGACATCCCTGCCAAGAAATGTAATTCTAAGAAAAGCTCAGACAAATTCAAATGGAGGGAATTGCTACAATAACTGGCTTTTAATACTAAAATCATCAAAATCATAAAAGCCAAGGTAAAACTGACAACTTTTAGAAGGAAAATGAGCTGGCAACAGAATACAAGCTGTAATTCGAAGGGCTGGACAGTATTAACTCATTGTAGAGACTGTCCTTACTAACAGGAAACACACACTCAATGGGATTGAGCGTGATGGCAAGCTATTATCAGCAATCAATTCTGAACCAAAACTTGTTCCAAAATAAAAAGATTAAACATAGAAAAATGTTTTTATGAGCTATACCTCATGTCTCTCACATTCTAAATTGTAGATCACTACTCCCAAGACCAAACCAATTTTAAATGTAGATCATTTTGACCTAAGTTCTCTCTCAATGTTTCAAAGAAGGAAGCTAGCTTTCTGCAAAAAGTCACCATTCGGACTTTTTCTGCATTTTTTTTTTCCCCTGAAACAGAGTTTCTCTGTATAGCCCTGGCTGTCCTGGAACTCACTCTGTAGACCAGGCTGGCCTCGAACTCTCAAACTCAGAAATCCACCTGCCTCTGCCTCCCAAGTACTGGGATTAAAGGTGTGTGCCACCACTGCCCGGCCCCCACTTTTTTTTTTTTTTAAATCATCAACCAGGCAGGATAGAGAAGAAACCTTCCTCTAATATGATCACAAAACGCTTTCTTCATAATTCTCTTGAGAGTGAGAATCTCAATCTTCTTTGAGCTATTGTTAATTAAGCACAAGTACAAACACTGGGGTGTTACAGTCTAAATTCTGTACTGAGGGCAGAAATGCATTCTACTCACTTCAGATATTTCCTAAAAGCCATGTTCCATCCACTACTGCAAAATGTGTTTGTACAAGGACAGTTTATCTGGATTCACATTTATTACTGTGAATTCAGATCTGGTTCTATTTCTTTCTTTCTTTCTTTATTTTTTCCTTGTAGGGTAACAGGGTCTCACTAGCCGTGGCTGCCCTTGAACTCACTAGATCTAGGACTACTCATGTTATTAACATTCCTAGAGTTGAAATCTTGAGTTCTCTTTTTTTCTTGTAGTCACTGTCCACCCAAGGTTAAAATATTGAAAACAGTTTGCTCTAAATGTTACCACTGTTCATAGACTAACTTTATATTTGATATATCACAGAGCCAAGGATGGGGGCATATACCTAGCACCTGTGAGGCAGAAATAAGACATCTCTGAGGTGAGACAAGCCAGGTTTACAGAGAAAGTTCCAGACCAGCCAAGAATACATAGTTAAGACACCACCTAAAAAGAAAAAACAGCTAGTTTATATTAACATCTCAATTTAAGTTTTGAAGGCTCCTAAGCACCCCAAGATTCTTCACCTCATACTGAAGTATGCCACGCCAAAACATCACAGACACAATACTTGAATTACCCATGAGAAATACACAAGCTAAGATGCTATTTCGGTAAATAGTGATGCCTAACAAGAATTCTACTAAATGTAATTTGGAATTCACTACATAGGCACAATTTCTCCAGGATAATTTTTAACATTCTTAAGAATTTTTTAATTATTCCTTTGGTATGCCTATTACAGAAAAAAAAAATTTTGTTTTGACTTTTTGGAATTAGTTTTCTCTGTGTAGACCAGAGACTGACCTCAGAGATCCTCCTGCCTCTGTCAAACAAGTGCTGGGATTAAAGGAGGCATGTACCACCACCACCCAAGTTCCTTTAACAAGATGAGTGGTTGAAAGAACAGAAAGATCTTAAGCTTTTGGGTTAACAGGCTATTCATTAGGAAAAGCCACTAAAATCTAGTCCTCAATTCCTATTCCTAACAAGTATCTAATGGCAACTTGTGCATTTTTTGTTTTTGAGAAAGCAAAGACTTCAAAACACAGGACTGTTAAAGGGTATTTCCAGGACTCAAAGCCATATTACACAAGTACACCACTAGGGTTCTCCTCCATTGTTTTAATAGTTACTATAATTTTATAAGTTCTTAGAGTTCTATATATTTAACATGAGTAAATATCCTACAACAACTATAAAAGTGACAGAAGAAAAGAAGAAAAAGCTCAGAGGCTTTGAAGAATGTCAGCACACCACTTCTGACTTCTGACTTTCTTTTTTCTTGAGCATATGCTTGTTGAAATAGTTTACATTCTTAGTAATCACCAGGTCCATTTCCCCCAAAGAAAGTTACTCCACCAGCTTTTGCTCATGTCTTAAGGAGTGCCTATCCAAGATCTTGAAATGCAGCTTTACTGACTGTGGTTTTGTTTGATTCTTTTGGATGGGAGGGACCCATCTCTAAATGGCCCTGCTGTGTTTGGCCAGGCTGGTCTGAAACTCCTAGAATCACAGCTGCTGCAGCCTCAACCTCCAGAGAACTAGGAACTCAGGCACATGTTGCCCCTGTTCTTCCTTAATACTCCCAGCCAGCAGGCAGCTTTCCTGGGCAGGGGAAGGTATGCTGGAACAAGCACTAAGCCTCCCCATTAAAAAATGTTGTTTTTTTTTTTTCTTTTTGGTTTTTCAAGACTGGGTTTCTCTGTGTGGCTTTGACTGTCTTGGAACTCGCTGGCCTTGAACTCAAGAGATCCACCTGCCTCTGCCTCCAAAGCGATGAGATGAAAGGCATACCGCCACGGCATGGCCGCCACCTGATTATAAGTACTTTCCTAGCCAGGCGGTGGTGGCAAATGCCTTTAATCCCAGCAGTTGGGAGGCAGAGGCAGGCGGATTTCTGAGTTCGAGGCCAGTCTGGTCTACAGAGTGAGCACCAGGACAGCCAGGACTACACAGAGAAACACTGTCTGGAAAACAAAACAAAAAGGTACTTTCCTAAAAAAAAAATCCCTTCCTGGGCAACATTTGTAGCCCTCCTTTTAACAGCTGAGGAGCCTCTCCTCCAATAGGTAAACTGTTGAACTATTAAACCATAATTATAAAAACAAACTTTGTATCATTTATTTGTACCCTAAAACAGTACTTAGGTAGCTATACTGACATTAGATGTCTTGAAGACCAATCAAGACGGACCTCTTCCCTCATAATCAGCCTTGGACTTGAAAAAGAAGCATTAGCTTTGCCCTTTGACAGGATTTAAAATACCGTAAGGGTTGAAGAGATTACATTTCACCAACTAAGAGTTCTTGCTGTTCTTTAGAGACCCCCAAGTTCATTTCCTGGCACGTATATGGGTAGTTCACAACTGTCTGTGACAGCAGTTCCAAAGGATCTGATACCCTACTCTGGCTTCACTAAAAAGTATGCAGTGTACTTACTAAAGTACAAGCAAAATATTCACACAAAATAAATATATCTTTTAAAAAAATTAAACATATAAAAGGGTCCTTCCTAGGTGAAGAGTATCAGGGATTTGTAGAGACTCATTAAAATTAAGCCACTTCCTCCTAGTCCACCTTTCCCTGGGAAGACTATATTCTAAACCACCCAAAACATTACACACTGGGGCTGGGGAGATGGCTCAGTGATTAAGAATAATTGTTGCTCCTACAGGAGACCCAGGGTCCAGTTCCAAGCACCCACAATAGTGCTTACGACCACTAGTTCCAAGGAACCCGATGCCCTCTTCTTTCCTCCCTGGGCACCAAGCATACATATACACGCAAAGCATTCAATACACATAAAATAGCTCAAAAAAATGAAACAGCTGGTGTGTTGGCAAATGTCTTTAATCCCAATAGCTGGCAGAGACAAGGGATTGCTGTGAACTTGAGGCTAGTCTGGGCTACAGAGCAAGTTCTCAGCCAGCCCAAAAAAAAAGGTTTTAAAAAGAAAAAAATTACACATTATTTACTGGATCCTCCCTTAAAGTTAATCCAAGTGGACTTGCCAATCATCTGGCCAGAAAACAACTTCTCAGAAAAGCTGGTTCATCTGAAGATATGCAAAAAAGTATGGAATAATTATCTTTAAAGAAGTAAAGTACTTAGACTGCTTATATGAGCCCTTCGCTCCACACAGTTGCTTTCAGGCCTTCATGGCTAAAAGGTCTGCTTGTTTTTTTTCTGGGTTCTAATTGAAAAAATATATAACTTTACCTTTCCCCATCTCTTTTTTATATTAACCAAAGTCCCTAAACATGCTCGACATGACACACTGAACATTTTCTCTGAAGATCCTCCCCAATTTCTACAAGTACTCGGAAGCTTTCACTGCTGACCCTAATTCAGAAGGCATGACTTAATATCTTTTCATCTCCCTCCTCTTGGCAGCTGTAGAGATTTACAGCTTGTCGGCACTGTTGATTTTCACCCTCAAATTCTAATTGGTGCCTATGCTTCCTTCTAATTCTGTCTTTAGAAATCTCTTATCAACGAAACTAAAACAACAAAAAGAAAAACCAATTCCCCAGTAATGCCGTTTCCAGCAGTTGGCACAATATCTATTCACGGAATTCATAGTACGCAGACGAAATACTCTCCAGTTAGTCCTGCAAGCACACTGGTCTTTGAAAAAATCATTTTCCTAAAGTATTTGAAGCGACTGCGCTACAACTAACGTGGGTATAACTAATCCCCAACACAATTCCACGCAATTAAAATCGCCGTAAGGTCAAATACAGATAACTGAAGTTATTATAGAATAAAGAAGTTATCACTACGAATATTTAAAACGATACATGGGTCAATGCGACTTAAGCAAGACGCCAGATTCAAGAAAAACAGTCCCCCTGTAAAAGCTTTGTCTTAGTTCGCGCACTATTTCCACTACTCAAATATCCACAACCCTCCACATTTATTTCTCCCCAAACACACCCCCTGGAGACTCCACTGCGGGAAAACCAGCTCTACCCTCTGCTTTTCCACCCATAAATTGCCCAACGTTCCAAATCCTTCCGATAACCTCTCGAAGCCACTAAGGACCGAACCACGAAGGGGCCTAGACCCGCTACCCTCCTCCTCAAGCCAGCTCGGGCCCAGCTCCCCCCTCTTCCCGTCCCCAACGGTCCGCGGGGCCCAGAGCTCACCTCTCCACCCACTCCCTCAGGAAGCGCATTTCCTCGGTGTGCAGGACGCTCGGGTCCTGCCTACACATCTTCACGAAGGCCCGAAGCTCGCTCACTTTGCGGGGATCCATGGTGGGGAGGCTGCAAGCTGCAGGCGCTGGGCGACTGCCGCGATGCCAGGCCCGGGAGCGGCTCAACGTGACCAAGTAGAAGGGGGCGGCTGCCGCGAGGCAGAACAGACTAGAACCTCCCCGGCTGCTGGCTCCTCCCCCCCAACGGCCTCGTGACCCCGGTCCTTCGCTCGCTCATTCCTACTTCTACCTCTGGGCCTGTGCTCCGCCTAGAATCTTCTAGAAGTGTAGCTGCCCGTGATAATGCCTGCTTCGATAGGCAAACAGTTTTACTCGCATTCTTTCCTCTGACCTAGTTCCTGGGATAGATGAAGGACCCTGTGTGTGTGCTTTCAAGCGGGACATAGGGAGGCATTTGGAATAGGATATTTCTTCTGTGAAGGTAGGCACTAAGCAGAACACGACGCCTTAATGAGGGGGGGGGGGGGGAAATGCCCGTGGGACCGGCGCGCCAAAAGCCCAGCCGGGTGACGTCACTGCTCTGCGCCGCCCCGGGAAGAAAGCCCGCGAGCGGCGACTGCCGGAAGGGGCCGGGCGGTTGACTAGTTTCCTGGCGACGCGGCTGTGCTAGTGGCTTTTTCCGCACAATTTGTACTTTCTCTTCCTGACCAGTGTGGTGCTGGCCATGCCGTCTCTGCTCTCAACCCCCAAGCTGGCTCCCGTTATAGGAAGGCTCCGCGGCCTCTCAGGTTAGAGTCTTTCCTGCCGGCGTCCCCTTCAGGTCTTCCTTTGGAGAAGCCTAAAGCAGCTCAAAGAGCTACAGGTTGATGATCTGGACCAGTCGGCTCCTGGGGCCCCCCCACAGATTTTTCTTTTGACTGGCTGCTCTGGGAAACAGTGGGCTTTAGGCTCTGTTATTCTGGGAAGCTAGAATGACTCGAAGAGCAGGGAACTCCAAGGGATTGTCTTCAAAGTTACTCGAATTCTAAATTTGTAGCTTTTATCATCACACTTGGTAAATTGTTTCATGTCAAGTAGCGCGTGTGTGTGTGTTAGGTCAGGGTAAATCTTTCGCCTTTTCATAGGTTTCATTGGAGAGCTACCTCAAAGGATAGAAGAAACACGTTTAGAAACAAATTCAGGTTATAAAGAACTAGACGGGGGACGTGCCTAAGGTCTTACATAAACAGTCAAGGTGATAGAGCACGGAGAATGTGAGCCCTCCGTGTACAATATGGTGAGCAATTAATCTAAAATAAAATTTTACACTGAAAAGTGAGTCATCTACCTTGTAAGGGGACCTAATATTGGATTATACTTAAGATGAGATGTGCAAAATGTGAACCAGAAAATAGGGTATTTGACATTAAAATTGGTCTTGATATTTACATATGATACTTGGGTTCGCTGAAAATGAAATTATATCAGCTATTTAAAATTTCTCCATTGCACAGACCCTATTCTGTAATCCTGGAAGTTTACGACATGCCTTTGAGGGGAGTGAATGAAAATGTGTGATTGATCAGTTATATTCACAGAGGCCACAAGCCTGTGACTAGACTAGAACTAGCTTTTTGTTTCTGATCGTTGACTCTCTTGAAGCTTCGTGTAAATCCTGACTTGATCCAGCTTTAGGACTAGATACTGAACTAAAATAAGTAAAAATCTAGTAAATATATTTTAGTTTGTTTCTAAGGAAAGTAAGTTCAGTATCCTGTTATATTACCACTAAATGTTTTTTAGTTTTAATGAAAGAGTGACATTGAATCTTCAGTTTACCACTGAGGGACTGAAACACAGTTAAGCCAGATGTTTGTTACATGATTGTGTCCAGTCGTTTATGGCAATTCTTTATCTTAATACTGCTTGGTGGAATCCTTTTGCAACTTCTCATTTCACGAGCCAGAAAGTGCAGTTTCATCCAGTAACTTTCTGAGTTAGTTATTGAGGGTGCATCTCAACTTCACCACAGTTGCTCACCATCAAAGGGGAGGCAGACAAGCAACTGATGACATTATAGCTGCATGATTATAGTCTTGACCCAACTGGTACAGGATCTCAGCAAAGAAGAGAGGAATGTTTGTTTTTTTTTTTGGCATTTTAATTATTCTGTTATCTTTGGAGTTTAGGTTTTAAATCTCATAAATAGGACTTGGATATGTGGTATTCCTGGTTACTCCTTTTTTAAAAAACATATTTTTATTGAGACTTCCATACAATGTAGTTTAATCATTCACTTCTCCCAGAACTTACCTCCCCAACTACATGTAGTTGCCTTTCTTTAGAAAGGCTCTGGAGTAGTGGTTCTCAACCTTCTTAATGATACAAGCCCTTAATTCAGCTCATTTAGTGGTGACCCAACCATAAAATTATTTTCTACTTCATAACTATATAATTTTGTGTGTGTTGTGAATCGTAATATAAATAGCCAGTATGCAAGACTTGATGATACTGGCCCTCTGTGAAAGGGTTGTTCGGCCCCCACAGGGTTGTGACCCACAGATTGAGAGTTGCTGCTCTAACTACCATAAGAAACCAGGTATGGGCCGGGCAGTGGTGGTGCATGCCTTTAATCCCAGCACTTGGGAGGCAGAGGCAGGCGGGTTTCTGAGTTCGAGGCCAGCCTGGTCTACAGAGAGAGTTCCAGGACAGCCAGGGCTACACAGAGAAACCCTGTCTCAAAAAAAAAAACAAAAAACAAACAAACAAAAAAGAAACCAGGTATGGTGATGAACACTTTTAATCCCAACACTAGGAGGTTTCTCAGTCAGGGTTTGTATTTCTGCACAAAACATCATGACCAAGAAGCAAGTTGAGGAAGGAGGGGTTTATTCAGCTTACACTTCCACATTTCTGTTCATCACCAAAGGAACTAACACAGGGGAGGAACTTGGAGGCAGTAGCTGATGCAGAGGCCAGGAAGTGATGTTACTTACTGGCTTGTTTCCCCTGGCTTGCTCAGTTGCTTTCTTATAGAACCCAAGACTACCAGCCCAGGGATGTCACCACCCACAAGGGGCCCTCCCACTTTGATCACTAATTGAGAAAATGCTTTACTGCCAAATCTCATAGAGGCATTTCCTCAAGGGAGGCTCCTTTCTTTGTGATAACTCCAGCTTATGTCAAGTTGACACACAAAACCAGCCAGTGTGGAGGCAAATGGATCTCTGAGTTTGAGGCCAGCTGGTCTACATAATGAGTTCCAAGACAGCCAGAGCTACATAATTGAGACCTTGTCTAAAAGAAAAAAAAACTTTTTCACCCTAGGAAGGCATGCATATCTGAAGTGTAAGTAGTATGGAAGGTAATATCTTTTTGCGCTTTGAAGTTTTTGATTTTTGGTGCTAGTGTTTGGTTAGTTGATTGTAGGTGATAGGAAATTAACCTGAAGTTGTCACAAGGTTTAGCACTGACTTATACACCCTCCCCCCAGCCCTGCAAATGTTGCTAATTTAAGGTCCATTTAGTTGAGAAATTTTATTAGATGGAATATGCTACTAGTCATCCGAGAAGAAGCAAAATAAACTACTAGTTGTATATTAAAAAGTTGCATTTTTAGCAGGAAATAGTGGCACACACCTTTGATCCCAGCACTCGAGAAGCAGAGCTAGGGGGATCTCTGAGTTCCAGGACAGCCAAGGCTGTCATACAGAGAAACCCTGTCTCTAATAAATAAATAAATAAATAAATAAATAAATTGCATTTTCAGATTAAGGCATTTAAGAAACATATTAAATCTGACATAGGAAAGGAAAGTTAACTTCATTCAACAAAATTTGAGCACCAAATTTGAACACTAAAAAGTTTCTCTCCTTATGATAGGCAGATAAAAAAGGAAAAGATTACTGTGATGTAGAATCCTAATTTGCTAATGAAATAAAGGTTCCATGTTGTGGTGAAGGAGGATGCAATAAAGAGAGATAGAGAGGAAACGCAGACACACCTTCAGAGGTCTGACCTTCAGAGGCTCCAGGGTCTAACAAAGCAGACTGTAAGAGTTGTCCTGGCAGCTGTCATCAGTGGTTCTGTCATCAGAACCACAGAACACCAATAACAGTGGTGGTACTAAACATTTTCATTTGAGATGGAGACTTTTCTAAAAATTATGTTCATGAGCATATGGTATTATACCAAAGTGATTATTTGGTCAGATGCATAAAATGCAATTCTTTAACAGTGATTGGCAAAATAAATTTGTCCATTGAGCTCTCTTTCCTCTGATATTCCTGAACATACTTTGGAAAGGCTGTGCTTTGGCTCAGTGAAAAGAAACAATGAGAAGTTCAGGGGGGAGGAGAGCAAGAAAAGAAAAAGAAGGAAAAAATGAGGTTTTTCTTCTAGACAGTGAAAGGTTTTTGTTTTGTTTTTAAGCTTAAGCTATTGGGAAAAAATAATTAAATCTGAACTTTTAGTTAAAATGTGATAACTCATTCCTGTACTCCCAGCACTTAGGCGATAGAGGTGGTAGAGTCAACAGTTTGTGTTCATCCTTGGCTCACATAGCAAGTTCAAGGCCAGCCTGGGCTATATAAAATCCAACTCAAAGAGGAATGGAGAAGCGAATTGGAGGACATATTAAATTCTTACTGTTTTTGAGATTTTGGGGTTTGATTCTGGAAAGAGTTTTGTTTTGTTTTCAACTTTAATTCTGCATGGAGACAGGTAAACCTTGCTAAATGAAACATTTTATGAAAATATCATTTAAAATACCCTAAGCTTTTATGAGTTTATTTTCTGAAAATAACTTTGAATATCCCCAGTTTCTCCTAAAGAGTAAATTACCTTTCCTCCCACCTACCCACTGACACAATACAAAACAAAAATTCACATTTGCTATTTAAAAATAATAGGCACTGTAATTGTTTCTGACTTTCAATTTAGTGTTTGTTTGGACAAAAGTGATAGGTTTCGGTGCTGCTGGATGATTTGCTTGTACCTTTTAATATAGTAATTTACAAGAATTTAAGACTGGCAGCTTAATCCCTAGAATAATGCCTAGAATTTACAATAATTACATTTTTTTTTTAAATTTTTTTATTGGATGTTTTATTTACATTTCATATGTTGTCCCCTTACCCCATCCCCCACCCACCCAGGAACCCCCAATCCCCTCACACCTCCTCCTTCTTCTTTGTGGATGTAACCTCTAT